CACCGGCCATTGTCGAGACCGACGTCGTTATTGTTGGCTCTGGCTGCGGAGGCGCCGTCGCTGCCAAGGTCCTGTCTGAGGCGGGCCACAAGGTGCTCGTCGTAGACAAGTCATACTATTTCCCGCCCTCGCAGCTGCCCATGACTCAGGACACGGGGTGTCAGTACCTGTACGAGAACGGCGGCTTCATCACCAGCGATGACAACTGCCTCAACATGGTTGCCGGCAGCTGCTGGGGAGGTGGCGGCACCGTCAACTGGAGCGTTAGCTTGCAGACTCAGGGCTTTGTGAGAAAGGAGTGGTCTGAGCAGCGCGGCCTGCCCTTCTTCACCTCGCCGCAGTTCCAAAACTCGTTGGACAAGGTATGCGATTTCATGGGCGTTGGCACCGACAAGATCAAGCACAACCACCGCAACAAGGTGCTGCTTGACGGGTCCCGGAAGCTCGGGTGGCACGCGGCCACGGCCCCGCAGAACACCGGCGGCGCGGAGCACTACTGCGGCCAGTGCCACCTCGGCTGTGGATCGACGGAGAAGCAGGGTCCCACCGTCAGCTGGCTTCCGGCGGCGGCGGCTTCAGGAGCCAAGTTCATTGAAGGATTTGAGGTCGAGAAGGTCACTTTCGACGAGTCCACAGGCTCGAAGCGTGCGACCGGTGTCGTCGGAAAGTGGATCTCGAGGGACTCTAACGGAAACGTGAGCACGCCGGTGGAGCAGAGGACCACGAGGCAGGTCATCATCAAAGCCAAGAAGGTCATCATGTCTGCCGGCTCTGTGTCGAGTCCTCTCGTGTTGCTGAGGAGTGGTCTCACAGTGAGTCGCGGTTTCTCACGGTTAAGTCTATTCTGCTGACCAGGTACTAGAACCGACACATTGGGCGCAACCTCTACGTACACCCCTGCAATCTTGTCGGCGGATATTGGAAGGAGGATGCGAAGCCATGGGAGGGTAGGTCGCAATCACGCCAAAGCGTACGCAGAAGACTGACATGCGCAGGTGGCATCATCACAAGCTACTGCTCCACATTCGAAGATCTGGACAAAGCAGGCCATGGTGTGAAGCTCGAACCAACTTGCATGATCGTACGTATTCCGGCATCCTCCCTGAACGGTTACTGACACGCCTGCAGCCCTACGCGATTCTCTCAAGCATGCCTTGGCAGAGCGGGCTCGCCGCGAAGATGGCCGAACTTCGCTTCCGCCACTTTGGCGCCTTCATCTCCTTGACCCGCGACCGCGATCCGGGCCGCGTGTACCCGGATCCCATCACCGGCCGGCCGCGCATCGACTACGTAGTGTCGGACTTTGACCGCGCCAACACCCTCGAGGGTGTCATCGCCATCGCCAAGATCTGCTACGTCGAAGGCGCGTCTGAGATTCACGCCTTCTTCCCCGGTCTTGCGCCTTTCGTCAAGGAAGACCACGCCGAGCCGCCCGAGAAGTCCATGGCCGACCTCTCATCGTCCTCCCACGAGAACGGACTGGAAGACGACGGCACGCTCGACGGCGTCAACGACCCCAAGTTCAACGCTTGGCTCGAGGAGGTCAGAAAGGTGGGCAACGCGCCGCCCGTGGCCATCTTCTCATCTGCGCACCAGATGGGGACGTGCAGGATGGCGCCGAATGAGGACGAGGGTGTTGTAGGGCCCAAGGGACACGTCTGGGGCACAGAGAACCTGTTCGTGGCGGATGCGAGCGTGTTCCCAAGCGCCAGCGGCGTCAACCCGATGATTACCAACATGGCCATTGCCGACTGGATCGCGGCGGGAATCGCAAAGGAGCTGAAGACGGAGGCTTGATAGAGCTCTGTACATACACGACTGTAGAAATGTGTGCGAATACCCGAATGAGAGACGTGGGACAATCTTAGTTGTTCCAATTCAGATCTAGAATGGTTGTTTTCTTGTGTCAGCTGTGAGCCGCATCACGGCATCTCCCACCGCCCACTCTTCCCCCCGTCCTTCAACACAACCCTCAACCCCCCAATGACCATGCCCTTGTCCACCGCCTTGCACATGTCGTACACGGTCAACGCCGCCGCCGAAGCAGCAGTCATGGCCTCCATCTCGACGCCCGTCTTGCCGTCGCAGGTGACCGTCGCCTCGACGTTCAGCACCGTCTCGTCCTCGCGCTCGGATGCGGGCTCCAGCTCGACGCCGACGTGCGAGAGCAGGATCGGGTGGCACAGCGGGATGATGTCCGGCGTGCGCTTGGCGGCCATGATGCCCGCGACGCGCGCCACGCCGAGGACGTCGCCCTTCTTCATCTGGCTCGCGCGCACGAGGCGGAGGGCCGTCGGCGTGGAAAAGGTCACGGTGCAGACTGCCTTGGCGACGCGGGCGGTCGGGGCCTTGGACGAGATGGAGACCATGCGCGCCGAGCCGGTTGGGGACACGTGGGTCAAGGTGGGATCCTGAGGGGCAGCGGCATCGTCTTCCGGTGAGCGTGAGCCCCGCCGCAACGGCGTGGAGGACAAGAGGCGGGCCTGGTGGGCGTACGTTGTCGGGACGAGCAGGTGGGTTGGTACTCTTGGGACGCCTCGGGGAAGCGAGTGAACAAAAGACCTGGGCCCAATCAAGTCGGACATCTCAGGCGCACGAGCTGAAAGAGACGGAAGCGGTTGAGAATCTAAGGGACAGCTATATTCAGTCTCCCGTCATGTACATCGGTTGATTCATGAGCCCCGTAAAAGCCGCGCCCAGCCGTGGTATACAACGCCGTTTGATGCAAACCAAACTCCCCTCCGAAAGATGATGGGAAGGCCGTTACCCACCTATCAAGATCATCGGCCTGTTCTTCATGTGCTCCAGCTCTCCAATGCCGGCGTGCTTCTCCTTCTTCCTCTTGACCGCCATGCCAATGACGTCGAGAAGCTCTGCCTCGTTAAGCGCCGTACCCAGCGGCTTCTCGGCGTCTGCCAGCCCCTGCCGACGGTCCATCTCGATCTGCTTCATTGCCTCGAATGCCTTTTCGTCAATGGGGTCGCCGTTGTTCGACTTGCGCAGAATGTCCCGCAGCGAGACCTCAGTGTTGCCAAAGAGACAAACTTTGAGGTTTCCGTCGCTGGTAATGCGCAGTCGGTTACAGGTGCCGCAAAAGTTGTGCGTCATGCTCGTGATGAATCCTATCTTTCCAGCGTGTCCCGGTATGCGCCAGGTCTTGCTCGTGTCGTTCTTGTGGTCCTTTACCTTCTCCAGCGAGGGGAACTTTTCCCTGATCATGTCCAGCATCTCGGCATAGCCCAGCATCTTGCCCTGGTTCCACTTGTTGCCGTCAAAGGGCATGTACTCGATGAAGCGCACCTCGACGTCCTTTTCCTGTGTCATCTCGACAAAGGGGACAATCTCGTGGTCGTTGCGGCCGCGCATGACTACGCAGTTGATCTTGAACTTGATGCCCGCGCCGTGCTTGTTGAGCTCAAAGATCCGGTCGATGCTCTTTTTGACGGCGTCAAACCCGTTCCTCCTGGTCATGATGGTGAACATATGCGGATCCAGAGTATCGAGACTCAAATTGACGCCAGTGAGACCGGCCTCCACCATGGAGTCAAGCTTTCGATGCAGTGATAAGCCGTTGGTGGTGAGGCATAGCTCCTTCAGTCCGTGGGGCCTCAACGCCCCGATCTGGTGCATGAGCGGCACGATATCTCGCCGCACCGTCGGCTCTCCCCCCGTCAGCCGGATCTTGGAGACTCCTTGTGACACAAAAACGGAGGACAGCAGTACAATTTCGGGGGTCGTCAAGAGTTCCCTCGTCGGCGATAGCGGCACCCCCTCTTCTGGCATGCAGTACACGCACCGGAGGTTACAGCGTTCCGTAACGGAGATGCGGAGGTAGTCGTGCTGCCGTTGAAAGTTATCGGTGAGAAAATCGGAGAAGGGTTTCGCATTCTTTATGAGTTCGCGGCGTGATAGTGGTTGCCGTTGGGTGTTCGGTGTGACCTGAGCTGCAGCGGCCCCATTCAGACACCGCGCCTGCGTCGTCCACACCAACTGCGACCTGCTATTCCGTGGCATGCGCCCGCTGCGCAGCGCCGTGCGAGGCAGCATGCTGTGTCTCATGGTGGCGGCCTTGAGGGATGTTACGAGTCGGACAGAATGGATGTAGGAAAGGGACGCAGGAAGACAGAGAGGAAGGAAATGGCTGTGGCTGGGCGTCCTTCACGCTGCGCGATCCATCACTGATATGACATTCAGCACGGCGAGGAAGTACGTAAGAAGATGTCTTGAAAGATGGCAACTTTGCTGGAACTGGGGTTGCTCGATTGATATGCTATCAGAGCAATGAGAGCGCCTTCTCCGAGGTTTGAGATATGTGACCAAGGTGAGTCAGCATTGGCGTGGCGATTACCTATTTGACCGAGTTTCGAGCCTACTTGAGTTAAGGGCGCATTCGACACTGAGAGGAAGGCGGGGGATGGAGGGGAACTGCTGCTGATTGCTGAAGGACCGACGCACAGGTCACCGGGTTTGGCGGAGTTGAGCGAAAGCCAGCGGTCCTCCGGCCTAAGTATGGACGGGCGGTTCCCTTCGGCCCTGCAGTCTTCACCTCAGTGTGTTGGCCAACTGCCAAGCTACCTAGCACTTGCCAGTGGGTTGCCAAATTACCGTCGCTCTGATTGGGCAGCTGCCAGCCCCTAGCGGTCCTGCCCGCACCTCGTGGTGGACCGTGCTGATAGCTGCCCGGCGACCAAACAGAGGAGGGCGGAGCCCCGCACTAGTCTTGGATAGGAAACAAGGTAAACAACGTTGGCGACGATGTTTCCTTCCGTTCCATGCGACATCGGCTTTTCTTCAAGACTCCACCGAGACCCCAGACACTTCACATGCCGGATTCTTCAACTTGAGAAAAAGGAAGCTTCCACCATTCGCGAATCTCACCTCCCTTGTCTCTACCTGTCTCAGGCCTTTCCATCCTGGGAAAAGCGAACCCCCCCTGACTTCCGAACATCACCACTCCATATCGACGACACCTCAACGCTAACGCGTGAGTGCCATGCAGCATGCACTTCTCCAGGATCTTCAAATGTAAGTCGGCCCAAAGGCGTGCTTCACTTGTTGCTGACACGACTTCCGGTAGCATCGCCTCACTGCGTCGCAAGTCCTGATGGAACTCTGATCGCAACCCTTACTACTGGCAGCATCAGCTTCCGGTCCATCGAGACTTTGGAGACAACTCACAGCGTCAGGTTGCCTTCAAAACTCGGCCCAGCAAACGCCTTTCTGTGGTCTCCGTCATCGCGTCGTGTTCTCGTCAGCTTTGCCGAATCCATCCATGTCTACTCGGCCCTCGAGTCCGGCTATCGTGCTGTCGTCCGCAACCCTGCTTCACCAAACTTCAAACCCACTTTTGTTCAGTTCGGCGCCTCGGACAGTGAAATTCTCATGTGCTCTTCCTTTGGTCTGAAGTTTTCTGTGTTCGACCTCACGACATCGAGAGCAGTCGAGATCGGCAGCCCCAAGTTTCATCAACCGACATCGGCGCCCCGAGGATTCGCTCTTCGACCTGGATTGGGCCACTTGGCTCTGTTGACCCGCGTCTCTGGAAAAGACATTGTCAGCATTCACCATCCCACAACGAGAGGGGTTCAGAGATCCTGGCACCCAGAGACGGTCGACGCGCAAGGCTTGACCTGGACTCCAGATGGCCGCCGGCTTATAATGTGGGAGTCTGCAGCCCAAGGCCACAAAGTCTTGTTTTACACTGCAGATGGGCACCTCCTCAACACATGGTCTGGACCGTCTGCCTTCGAGCCTGAGGAGAAGCACTTCGATCTGGGCGCGGGGGTAAAGGTGTGCCAAGTCAGCCCAGATGGTGCTCGCATTGCTGTGTGCGACCACACCCGAAATGTCTGCATCTTAGACACCAAGCCAGCGACTGCATCAATGAGGCTTGAGCATCCTGCAGCCATCGTTCCGAAGGATACTGTTCAGGTGGGTGACGCAGGATTCGAACTTGCAACTTCGCAGGCTAATGAAGAGTGGTAGATATGGCAAGAACAAATCGGCAATGCCCAACTAGGCTCGGCTCACACATTCGTAAAGGCCACACAATCGGTCTCTGCTCCGGGCCGAGTGAGTGGTGGAAGCGTCGAGACCAAGCCAAGCCGTACCTTGGCCGTCTTTGATGCCTCGTCGACTCTTCTAGCCACAGCCTTGGAAGACTGGCCGAGCACGGTTTGGGTCTGGGACATCTTGTCATCGGAGCTTCGAGCTGTTCTCGTCTTCCACGGCAATATTTCGGCGTTGACCTGGCACCCAACGCAGCGCGAGCTGCTCTCCATCACTTGCGAGGGCGATGGCTACGACGGCCTGGTGTTCACCTGGGATCCCTTATCTGATGGACCCAAGACAATTGACTTTGCAGCACAGCTACCCGACGCAAAGTTATTCGGCAAATCGCAGGTGTCCTGGCTCAATTGGGCGGGTGATTCTGCCATGCTTCTGATTGGGGATACAAAGCATCGCCTCATGGTCTCCATGTCCGAATCCGACACGTACGGAGCTCCTTGGCAAGACGCACAGCGCAGTGACTTGACAATGACGACCGGGAAGGACGAAACGCAGCTGGACCCAACTGCGTTCGCTGAGTTCGACGAGGACCTGTCCAATTTAGACATGTCAGAAGTGGACGACACCTTCTCTTTCAAGAAGCTTTGATCGATCGCTCGTTGGCCACAACCTCGGGTCCGAGCCAGCTGCGGATACGCAGAGTCTCAGTCCAACCAAGTGGCCAAGCCAAGACTTTGGTATTTTCATGAACCAACTAGGCGGTCTTGATTGGTTTCCAACCACCCGCGTGTATAGATCATTGCAGCCGGGAGAGCAATCGGATGCATGGCCACTAAGATCCGTGGATTGACGTCTTCTGGGGGTGCTGTTCAGCTTGGATCATTGCCTCGCAACCAAATCCTGCACGAGATCCATTGGGGAAACCCCAAAAGTCGCAGACTGTCACTGCATCCCCTCGCAGTGGGTATGAGGGGAGGTCGAACACCGAGTGACCTGCCGGGTGAGGTCGGCCAGCGCTTTGCTCACCGCTGAATTGTCCAGAGGATCTTGGGGCTGCATTTTCAAGTTGAGACAGGATCGCGCGGCGCCTGAGAATGACTCCGGGTGACCACCACCATCCGCAGGGGCCTTCCCAACCAACAAGAGCCCGCATGGAATCCTCGTTGCTTTTCGCAACCTTAAAGATGGTCGTCGAAACGCAGGTCCTTGCCCGCACAAATCAGCATTGCGCAGATGCCTAGACTCAGCTCTATTGCTCTTCAGCAGTATTGACAAAACTTTCAATCAGCTCCGTCGGAATCAAGGGCGGAATTAGTGGTCATCAGCTCTGACGACAGGTTCAGCTAGCCAAGGTACCGGCCGCCATTTTGGGTGCCGCCGGACCCCTGTCGCCCCCTCCAAATAGCTGCCGCGCGAGACCCTGGCAATAGCTGGCACACGGCAGCCCAACCCCCGGTCGAATCGAACAGGAATGCAACCCACTATCGCGGGCTATCTTTGGGACTTGGACGAGAGCTCTTCTCGAAGATGTCGGATGCCCATCACCCCCTTCAAGTACCTTCAACTTGACGCTTCGAAGCTTCCTCTGCCACCAATGTCACCCAAACACCAGGAACGTGGCGCAAGATTGGATCAGGCGATATTGAACGTAGTCTGCTTACGCGCACCAACAATATCTGCGGGTGACAGGTCACAGCGAGAAGCAAACTGCACCAGACGACCCCACAAAATCAGGGACTCTTCATCCACGATGGATAGTTTCCTCTCTCGTCACGATCCCTTTGGTCACTCGATGTGGGTACTTGGTACAAAATAGGCGTGGTCTGTCCGTCAAATCAGCCAGCTTCACCCGAGACGGAGCAGTACAATGACTTGCGGAAGTTGCCTCGAGACAGCTTGGGTACCTGTGCCGACGTTTATCTGGAGTGGATTCGCCGCCAAGGACGGGGTCCAGCCAAAATCATGGATGTCTCCACGTCAAGCTCCTCATCGTCGACGCAAAGGATGACAGGGGCTACTTATTGGTCAAACAGCAGCAGCATTGACAGCATTGCCGCATAGAAGACCGACGTTGGAGGTCCGGCCAGCTTGACAAACTTCCCCAGAATATAAAAGGATTCCATTGTTCTTTGTCTGCAACCTCGATTCATTGTTTCAATTTCTGCCTACCCTGGACATCTCACGGTTGGCCAAGATCGTCTTGGTTCATCGCCGGATCTTGTCATACATGAGATCCCCTGTTTCGTCTTGGTCCCCAGCCGTCGCACGAAATTCTGGTCCGACTGAGCCATTGGGCTTACTTGTTGGACAAAGTCTGTGTTCGGAGCGGATTCCCGTCTCAACACGTCACCATGCAAGTTGGACAGCTCCCTCCGGGTCCCGAGACAGGAAATTTCTACATCCCGATTTGCAATGTGTGTTTCACCAACACGAGCTCTGCCTTCTGGCCCTCTGACAGTCGGCCTAGTTACCATTCGACACAAGATGGCAGGCGCTTAAGGAATGGCTTAGCCGCGACTGTGAAGTCGACTACATTCAACTCTACCACCCCACCTCGGGCTGGATCAGGGTCAAGGGGGCATACAATTTTTATCGTGCATGTGGTAGGTGGCCAAATCGAAGCGTGTCCAGGACCTGCTAACACGCGCTCAGATCGTTTGAAGGATGGAGTGTTCAACGGCAGACGCATCATCTACGATGACAGCAACATGACGAGTGCAATCGTCGTCAAGGAAGTGCACAATGACGAGAACGCGATTCCAGTGAACGGTACCGTGAAGTCTCGCCAACCAACCCCTGCACCATTCTCTGTGCAAATCGACCATCAACCCTCACCATACTCTTACGCATCCTCAGAAGCATCATCGTTTGAACAACAAGTGAGAGCCTAGTACTACATGGCGCCAATCTACAGTTTCTGACTTGCAGCAGGTTCCAACGGACCTCGGACACTTCAGCCAGGGGTATGATGGCACTCAGATACAGGGAGCATGGTGCCCTGAATACCCTGCGTACGTGTCCAACAGTGGATTCTTTCCGAGCACCGCGGCTCCAACCAACCAACCCAGCCAGGCTGTCTCTGTTGAACATAGACGAATCATAATTAGACGGATAGGACACAGCACTCCGGAAGACCAGATCAAAGCGCTCATTAAGCAAAGCCTGGCAAGAGTTACCCCGGTAAAGGCCGAGCTCCAGAGGATCGACGTCCCCCGAGGATCAGGCAGTCAGAACAGAGGACACGCCTTTGCAACATTTCGAACCGCAGACATTGCTCGAAGCGTTGCTGAGTCGCTCAACGGCAAAACTTGGAATTCCCGTCGGCTCGAGGCGCGTCTTACTACGGAAGGTGTCGCAGAGGAGCAGGCGAGCCGCGCGTCTCCAACGCCGACCTCGAGTTCAAGTTCGCGGCAGAAGAAATGTGACAGCTCCAGAAAGAAGACAAGCGAAAAGGCGCGTGCGCCGGTTCCCTCGGGGTCTGCTAGCCGCCCTCCTGAGCCTTCTTCGTCTCGCTCATTGCGACAAGGGTCGTCAGGTTCCAGCAGCTTATCGCCAGCAGAGCCGTCATCATCGCGCCAGACGAGGAGCCAGCAGCCAGCAGGGCCGGTGATTGCAGACGGGACTAGTCGCAGGTCTCGGTCCGAATCGAAAGAGGGGAGAAGAAAGTAGTCATTGTACCAACAGAAGCGAGCGCTTGAGATACCCCTGGGGAGCGCCAACACAGCTTGTTAGTCGGGAAAGCCAGCTATCTACCTCTAATTTGGGAAGAGTGTCTGCCAAACGCAGAGCTTGTCCCTGTTAATGCTGCCATTTAGTTCATCAAAATCTATGAAATTGTATCTATCACTCACATCGATGCCTTCAAATTTAGTACTATTTTGTAACACGACAGCAAGACCTCATAGCCAGGCCTGTGACTAATATGTCATCTACATACTGGGTTCTTCTATCGGTAACGTCTTGGACGAGTTCAACCGCAATGACTAGTCTTCCGCCAGGCGAGCCAAGCAAAGGGCAAGGGCGCCCTCGGGCTCATGCGGTTTGCCCTACGTGTGCTGCATTTGTCAATGGATACGGTTCGCTCGGTTGGTCGGGTACCAGACCAGGCCTGGTGTGACGATTCAGGAATCCGTGCATGGCAAGCAAACAACGGTCCCAAATCCGGCAGTCGGGCTAGCCTCCACCTTGCTCTCCCACCAACAGATCGCCAAAGGATCCGGGACCAGCGGCGTTGCTACTATATCCGGGGCCTGAGGGGGCTCCTGGTCTGTAACCTGCAGAAGGGGATTGGACGGGTTGAAGACAGAATGCGATTCGGGTTTCGTATACGAGACGGTTGCAAACACAGCGCTGAGCTTGAGGCTGAAAAGGAGACCGGTGAAGCAAGCCGCCGTGGAGCCAAGGGAAACAATCAGCGGTGCAAAAGTGAGCAGGAAGGCTATCTGCATTACAGAGGACCCTAGCGCTGGTTTCCGTCGCCGGGACACAGCCCTGGGCGGCCATGAGAGCGACTTTGGCAGCCGTTGGTTGCAGCAGCGGTTGAAGCGGGGAGGGGGGATCCATCATCCACCGGCTGCACGATTTGACGCCCGGTACATTTGATGTGGGTGGTGTTGAGGTTATGCTCGGGAGGGAGACGCAGCCTGATCACCGCGCATGTACTCCTATCCCGGGAGCGAATCCCGGAGCATGCCCAGAGGACTAGATCTGCGGGCTTGGTGCAGCAACGGGCCCCGTGCCCGACCCCGACGCCTCGGGCCCGCGGCCGATGCCACATTGACGGCAGAGGTCTCTGTCTGTCTAACCCCCATCACACGAATCCATCCATTCTCGCGGCAGCTACCGAGTGAGAAATAAAGACGCAATGTGGTGCAAGTCAACGTGGGCTCCCACCTTGCCTGCCCCGACAGCGACCTCGTCCCGAGGCTCGACAGCAACCCCATCCCACCATCATCCCATTCTCTGCCCTACCACCACCACCATCTTGAACCCTCGCCCATGGCACCTCCCAAAGCTCGGACGGAGTTCATGCACAAGATACGGGCACTTGTTTGGCCTCCCGCAACACCTACCCGCGACGAACCCCGCTTCAGCGTCTAATTAGCGACTGGCGCGACGACACATTGCGATTTTATCTCCGGGCGCCGCTGCTGCTGCCGGGTGGGGTGGGCGGTCGTTCATCACTTCTGCATTTGAACCGGCCCGATTTTGCGAAAAGAAGTACCATGACCTCGAACTCTCAACTGACAAAAAGCAAAGCTGGGGCGGGTACACGATTTTCAATCCGGGAGTCAACCCGCAGTGTTCGGCATCGGGAAAACCAGAGAACAAGACGACGACGTGCCGTGCCCGGAAACTTGCATGGGGCTGGACCTCTCGGCCTCTCCCTCTTGCAAGCAGAACGGGGGCTGTGGCGACTTGGTCCATAACCGGTGAGCCTCACACCCCGGACAGTACGCCTTCACCGAGAACGCCCCTGCTTTCTCACTGTGTGACAACACACACACACACACACACACACACACACACAACCAAGTCCACGAATGGGGTATGGTGAATCTTGCTTCTGTATCTGCTTTTCATCATGCTCTCTCACTTCCCCCTGCTGCAGAGACAACGCTGCAGAGGAACGCTTCTAATGCTACCCAACGCCGCATGCGTACGTTCCATTTCCTCCTCTTGTGCATTCACCCTTTTCGTCCCTCGCTTGTCCATTCATATCACAGGTTCGTCGTGAAAAAGAGAAATCAGCCACCAAAGTCCATCTTCAGCGCAATGCTGGGCTGCCCGGTCGCACTCGTCGCGGGCTGTTCCGACGAGCCCTGCTGCCGTCCCCACCGGATGACCTCCTCCAGGAATGCCTTTTGCCCGTCATTCATGTTGGCCACGACGGTCCGGAACGCGCTCTGGTCCACGGCCGCCAGCTCCAGTAATCTTGCACTCGTGTCTCTGTACGCGTCCTCGCCTTCGGACGAGGCACGCGCGAGGAAGGTGGGGAGGATAAGGGCCATGGCGACGGGGATGCGGTCGCGGGGGACGTTGCCCACGTACTGGCTGAGCGAGTGCGCAATGAGGGAGCGGGCGTTCTCGGGATCCTCCGGCTCCGTGTTGGTCACGAAAGCGACGAGGCGCGGGAGGAGGTAACGGACGATGGTGTGGTCTGCCGGTGTCGTGTTGGCCTGCAAGAGCAGGGACCTGATGCAGTTTGCTGCAATCTTGGCGGTCTGGGGTTTTTTGTACATGTTAGTCAGTCGGAAGATCATTTGAGGGAGGGGAAGAAGCAGCAGAAGGAGGGAGACAACATACCATGCGGTCCGTGAGGCAGTCGACGACCTCGTCGAGGTACCTTGCCACAAGCGGATCGTTTGCCGCCAAGTGATTCGTGCCGCCCGTAAAGAGAATCGTGCTCGCGAGCAAACAGTTCTTGACGCAGGTGAGCGATGTGGGCGCCTCGCGTTTCTGGGCGTTGAGGTAGATGGAGAGGAAGCGCCGCAAACAGCCCTGCAGCTGGACGTCCGTTGGCGTCGGGCCGTTGCCGCTTGTCCTGCCAACGGACGACTTGGTCATGCTCACCACGAAGCGCTTCAGGGTGGGCAGGGATTGAGGCACAATGACCTCCTGGCATCCCGGGGTCGCCAAGATGGTGGCTAGAATATGGATGATGCAGGCGTGCAGGTCCGTCTTGATGATGGAGGGGAAGACCTCGGCAGCGTCGACGAGGGCGTTGAGAGACGAGCGGATCAGCAGTACCGCTTCCTCTGTCATCTGGTGGCGGACGGGTTGGTTTGCTTCCGTGAGATTGGGCAGCAGGCCGGAGAGAACGAGGACGATGATGCGCGTGAGCTCGAAGAGCTGGTCGATGTCGTCAGAGAGGTCGCCGTCATCGCCCGAGTCCTTCTTCCGCGCGGAGGGGTGGGAGACGCAGAGGGCTCTCGCAATCTCCACAATCACGCCTTGGACATCGAGGCCTTCTGTCAGGACAAGTCGGTCCAGGAGATCCATGGTCTCGGAGAAGATCGCCTCTCGGTAGATGGCGTGACCTGACACGCTGGGGTGCAGAATCTTCTTCAGGGCCTGCAGGATTGCCAGGTTCTGCTCCTGGGTGGCCAAGGAGTCGCTCTGTCCAGGGCGTGTAGCCAGAGCCTCAAAGGCGATGCCGAACAAGACGAAGAAGAATGCAACGGGCTCGTCACGATAGTTGATGTCTGAGCCCTTGGTGTTGCCATTGGTGTTGAGTCCCTCAGACTCCTTTCCGTCCAGCGCATCGAATACGAACTCGCTGTCCTGCTCGATGAGGCTAGCAATGGCGTCGACGAGCTTCAGCCAGGAGTCTTGGTAGAACTTAAGTAGGGTCTCGCGGTTCAATGCAGCGTAGATAGTATCGAGACTGCCAGAGAGTGAGGGGGGGCCGAGGGTCATGGAGATGTCGGGCTCGAAGCGCAGGCGGGCAAACTCTCTGAGTGACTCAAGCCACAGCGGCGTCAGGGTTCCGATGTGCGGTTTGAGGACGTCGAGAAGGTATTTCTGTTCAGAACTGGCAACTTGCAGCTCTGCCCAGGCCGAGAAGACGGCCATCTTGACCATGACTTGAGCGTTGGAGCTGAGGCCCTTGAGGTCGCCAATACCGGCGTTCTCGTGATCCTTGGAGAAATTCTCAAGGGCAGACACCAACGTCTTGAGAATGCGACCCATTCTGTCCACGTCCGTGACAATTCCCGTAGAGATGAAGCCAGCACAGACATTGACGGCTTCAGATGCAAGCTCGGGAGACGAGTCCGCAGCGAAGGCGGGTGTCAACGCCGAGCTGATCTGGGCCTGGTACTGCTCCAAGAGCATAGCCTCCTCAAAGTCGGGATCGGGCGCCCTACCAAACATCTTGAGGACCGCGCCGATGATCTTGAGACCCCAGACTCGCAACTCCAGCACGCTAGACGTAGACGCCGAGAAGGCCATGCGGACGACATCGGCAATCTTGTTCTGGAGCGCCGTCTGGGCGGCAGACTCGCCATTGGTCATGACATCCTTTGCGATGAGGATAAACATGTCGTTGATGCAGCTGATTGCGAAAGTGGTCACTTGCCATCGAAGGGGCTCAACTTCGGATCCGGCCTTGTTGTCCTGGTCGTCCTTGGCCGTTCCGGCGAAACCGGCGACCTCCTCGTCCTGCAAGTCTGGCATGCCGCTCGAGCCCTTGTTTCCAGAGACGGACTCCTCCTTGGCCTTGGCTCTTGTCATCTTGAGGACGCCCTGGAATCTCGTGAGCCAGAGGGCAGTGTCCGTGAGGCACGTCTGCCGCATCCAGTTCCTGAGGATGTTGCGAATGCCGTCGTGTGTCGGCGCGTCGTCGAGGACCAGCCACAAGTGGTCCTCAAATCCCTTCTCTGCAGCACCAATGACATCACTTGGATTTCTCTTCATGATGTTGTATAGGCCATCAACAGCAACGTCCCGCAGTATGGGGTATTCTGATTGGAGGTACTTCTGGAGAACCTTGACGTATTCCTCAAAGTTCATGTACCCCGGAGCATAGAGCGACAAATGCTCGAGACAGCTCAATGTCGCCCTCTGAACAAGCAAATCGTCTTCTTCTTGAAGCTGGCCGACGAGGTTGAGGATAAGCTCGCGCGACTTGGTGGAGTCTTGCAGGTCAGGACCCAACGCATTGATGAGAGAGTCGACGCAGCGCGTGATGGCAGCAGTGGTCGAGAGCTCCATTTCCAGGTTCATGGTGATGGCAGAGGAGATCTCGGGGTTGTGCGTGTCGGAGACGTACAGTTGGGCCAGCATGCCGAGCGTGCTCGGCACGTACCCAGCAAAACTCAGGCCAGCGGCGTCTGAAGCCAACGCCAATGCTTCCAAGGCCCAGAAGTGCACGGTAGGATGAGGATCGTTGCAGAGAGACATCAAGATACCAAGAATGGTCTTCAAGTGATACCCTGCCGCCATACCGCCGACCTTGGTCTGGATCGACCCAAGAGCCATTGCACAACCAGCGCGCGCGCTAGGCTCACGGTTGCTGACAATGGTGTCGACAAGGTACTTAATTTCGTGGTTAGTGAAGGCGTTGCCACAAGCGTTGCAAAGTCTCGCGACCGCGGCGTATCCAACGCTTCGGACGTACTGGTCTCCGTCGATGACGAAATCACGGAGCATATCCTGGATGAGTCTCTCCACGGCGAGGTTGGTGACGTTGCCCGGGGACGACTGCGTCTCCTTGACGGCCACCCGCAAAGTGGACAGGACGGCAACGGACACGTTCACGTTGATGGCGGCCTTTCTGCCAGGGTCTCTCAGCAATGTGCCGGCGGACATGAATGTCTTGACCTGCTCCAGCACGCTCTCCTGTACCTTGGGCGGCGTCAGCGGAAACACGAAAGCAAACAGCTGGATGGCCATGTTGATGACCTCGGTGGCCGGGGGGTCGGGAATGGTGAGCTCTGTGGCATCACCGACGTATAGCAGGGAGGCGTCGTGTTCTAGGGTGCCGCAAACTGGCGACAGTAGCAATCGGTCTATAGATTCTTCGGGGCTGTTTTCTTCGAGGGGTGTGCCTTCTATGGAGTTGTCCTGTTGACCCGGCAGACCCTTGATCTTGAATCCGGAAATGAGGCCGGTGATGCCAAAGCCGGAATTGTCGCCCACGTCCCAGACGGTCTCGAACGTGGCTGCTGCATTCGCTATGGACGCGCTGAGAGAGTTGGCAGAGTAGTTCTCTGGATCTGCGAAGAGAGAAATTGCAATGGTGAGCAGGTTCGACTGGAGAAGCGCCTCGCTGCCACCGGCGGGGCTGAGGTTCACGAGCTTGATGTAGCACTGCAGCACGCGGCGTTGGACCATCATGTCCAAATCGTGCAGCTGGAGCGCCGGCGTCAGTGTCTGCGACACATCATCGGTGATCTTCTTGGAAGGAAGAGTTCTCAGGAACGCAGAGGTATTCTGCAGCATTGTGGCTATACGCTTGGAAACGTCAACCGTCAGCAGCCTGGTGTTGAATTGCAGGAACGACAATATCGAGCCCAGCGCACACTCTCGCACGTGAGTCAGGAAAGACGCCTCGAGCAGACTGCGGTGAGCGGTATTGTCTTTCGACAACGGCTTGGGCAGCGCATTCTTCCAGAGTAACAGCAGCTGGGAGAGGTGAATCTTCACAAAGTTTGGGCCCAGAGACATCAAACCACCAATCAAGATCCACGCCACCTGAATCTGAGTGCTAGAGACTCTCAGCTCGGATTGTCCGCTCGACTTGAGCAGGTTGGTCGCCATCGTCAGGACACGGCTGTTGATATCAACGGATCCGTGGAGGGGCCGCGCGGGGCTTGCGCTCAACGTTGCTGCCAGACCATGAGCAAATCCGACGCATCGCCTGGGAGAGTTTCGTCCACTAGTGAGAAGCCCCAGTTCTCTGCTGAGGCTGTTCATGCACACTGACAAGCAAGGCAGGAGCTGCTGGGGGCAGGCGAGGACGAAAGCCTTCATGCATGCGGAGGCATGGACCTGCACCGAGTAGCTGGGGTGCTGAAGGACTCCCAACAGACCGTCTCTGCATGGTTCCGCAAAGTTGTTCGCCGCAGACCCCAAGCAGTTGATGAGCGAAGCTATCGCGCCGAGGGCTGCGATCAAGGTATGCTTCGTCGGTTCCGAGCGCTCGACGAGGGCTTGCGGATAGTTCTTGAGAATGTCGTTGATGATGAGCTTGGCCGCCGTCGTCTGTCCAGACTCGCCTAGAATCTTTTGTCCAATGACGTCCTGGAGAATGGTGTCAACGATGCGCCTCGAGATCAGGAGACGATAACGGTTGTTGAGGATATTGGGCTGTCCGATCAGGTCGACGGTCAGATTCTCGAGGATCTTGAGGTAGTTTGTCTCCACCGTCCTCTCACCAAGCTTTCTCAGTACTTTGCCGTAGCAGACGCCGATGGCCGCCCTGGCTTTGTTCGACGTCGGCATCTTGGTGTACTGGGTCGAAAGGATCCTCAGAATCTCAGCCAGCGACAGCGCCAGATCCTGCGCCCTCTTCCCGCCGGGGGCAGGGCTGCCCGGTCTCGACGTGGGCAGGTCGTCCTCGTCAGCAACTATGCTGGCGGCCGTGCCAGTGCGCTTGATCGGCTTCTTGCTCATCCTCTTCTGAGCCTTCGTCAGCGGGGCTGCCTCCGCGACGCCGGTCTCGGAGTGCCCCCTGACCATGGCCTCAGCCAGCGCCTCCGCGGCGGCATGTCTGACCTGCGACGACGAAGAGTCGAAGATCTTGAAGATGGCGGTCTGCAGCTTCTCAAAGTCGTTCGAGTTCTCAAAGTATGGCGTGTGTCGCACGAGGGCCCTCAGGGCCCGACAAGCGGAGACGATGACCAGCGAGCCCTTGTCGCTGGTGCCGTAGCTGCGCGACTGCTTGAAGATGTCCCTGGCAACATTTTCGTCCATGCTGCCTTCAACCATCTTGACAATCTTGCCCAGCGACGTGAACACGGCGGCGCGCAGGCCTGCGTTGCTGGAGGACGACTTCAAGAGCTTGATGAGCGTCGCGCACGCAAGTGGGTGCAAGCCAATGGCGCTGTCGCCGGCGGATGCGTACACGTCGCCCAGACACGCGACGGCGGCGTGCTTCGTGCGCGGGCCCGCATCCGTCTTGGATCTGGCTCCGGTGATGATGGCGATCAAGTCGTTGATGGTCTCGAAGAGAAGCTTCCGGTCGCCATGCCCAAAGATGTGGGCAAGACACTTGCCGAGATTGTTTCTGACGACGCGGCTCGGCTGGGGCGAGGGTAGGTTGACGATTTGCAAAATCTCCTTTTTGAGGTAGAACTGCTGGGCGGTGCAGTCGTCGGCGGAGAGGCTCAGGACGTGCTTCGAAAGGGTCGAGATAAAGGTAAGCAGGAACAGCTCCTGCTGCTCGGCGGGGAGGGCCTGGAGCTTTGGAACGTCGAGCTCGGGGGTCGAGGTCGCTGCCGAATCGGTTATGGACGAAGTCGTCGCTGTCGGGGGAGGAGGCTGCGATGGGGGCGCCGTCGGTGCAGCTGATGACGGCCGCGGCGAGGCAGCTGCTTGCGCGGCGTCCTCGTGGGAGCCATTGGGAGCTCCCGTCGACGACATCGAGGGAGTTTGTCTGATGACCACTGGGGGTCCGGTAATCTGTTCTTCTTCAATTGGGTTGTCTGTCTTCTTTCGTCGGAAGCTCTTTGAACGGGGTGTGTTTGGTATATTGGGGACAGGTTGAGGGACGGGACAGGCATGCGGTCAGGTACGGGATGGGATGGGCTAAGGTAAAGCAATCAGGGGCGCGGACGCTACCCCCCGGCGGGTCAGCCCAAGTTTGGGCGGGATGCCATGACATATCACTTGAGGCGCTGGGCGGGACAGCTGTGGCTCAGTCTCAACTCTGCGAAGTGTCAATTCAGGGTCTGGGCCAATGGAAGCCACACACCACCTGTGCTAGCCGTTCCCGCTATCCCCCACTTGAATTTTGGAGCTGTCTCTGACATGCCGCACGATTGAGCCCCCCCAAAGTCGTGGTCGTCCGTGGCCCGGACATGACATGAACCAGAGGAGGTAGCCCTCACACCCGAAACCCGGAAGCCGCCCCGACCCGATCCCGGCCCCGAGTCACCGTCCCTCCTCAACGTCAACGATGCGTCCATTCGCCGCCGCCGCCAGCAGCAGCTCCCTGCGGAACATCGCATCCCGCGCCATCGTCCTGGGGTCCCGATCTCAGCCCACCTTCTGCCGCCAATGCCTCCGCCCGTTTTCGACGACGCCCGCCGTCGCGAGTGGACACAACAAATGGTCCAAGATCAAGCACAAAAAGGGCGCCACCGATGCGCAGAAGAACAGCATGCGCAGCCAGCACTCCAAGAGGATCACGCTCTGTTCTAAGTTGTACGGGACGGTCGACAACCCCCAGCTCGCAAACGCCATCGAAATCGCAAAGAAGGCCGGCGTCCCTAAGAGCCTGATCGACTCCGCCATAGCGCGCGGACAGGGCCGCTCCGCCACGGGCGCCGCCCTCGAGACCCTGACCATCGAAGCCATCCTCCCGCCCGGCGTCGCACTCATCATCGAAGCCGAGACCGAGAGCAAGGGCCAGACCCTCCAGGAACTCAGGTCCCTCATCAAGAAGCACAAGGGCACTGCCAACACGGCATCATTCTTCTTCACCCGCACTGGCCGCGTCGTCTTCGAGGCGAAAGAAGGCGCAACGGTGGACAACATCATGGATGATGCGATCGAGGCGGGCGCCGAGGACATTGAGGCAGACGAGGAGGGCAACCTGATCATCTGGACGCAGCCGAACATGACCACCTCCGTCGCGAACGGCGTGGGCCCCAAGTTCGAGCTGAAGCTGCTGTCCTCCGAGATCATCTGGTCTGCAAATGAGGATACCAGGGTCGGCATCGAAAACGGCGAGGATGCGGTCATGCTCGGCGAACTCTTGGCTGCGCTGCAGGACTATCCGGAGGTCCAAGCCGTGTACGGCAACCCCGCCAAGGGAGCAATCTCGGAGGAAAGGTGGTCCAAGATCGAGGAGAACCTGGACTCGTAGGTCCTGGTCAAAGCCAAGGCTCTCTCTCTCTTCTCTGTTTGATATGTACAACATGTAGAACACACGTATAATACAACACTACAGATGCTCTGAGGGGCGAGTGTTTGCAAAGGTCCTCCTGCCCAAACGCCGCGTCCGTCGCATGCAATTTCCCCAAGCCGAATATTTTTGACATCCAAACGCCAATATGACACAGCACCCCTCCCCCGCATAGAATCCACTGTGGGACATGCCCCCAACCCTTCCACAGCGAAGGGTCTCGTAACCGTCCTCGTTGATATCACGTCCGTCGCAATCATGCCTCGCGGGCGTCCTACTGATCCTCGTTCGAAGGCGGGTTCTGCGCCGCCTGGGCGGCCTCCCGGTCTTTTCTCATCTGGTCAACGAGTCGCTGGCGCTTGGCCAGTCTGACGTACTCCTCTTTGATGTCTTCGCGGTCGAAAGGAATCTTGTGCGAGTGCTCGGCCTTTGGCCAGAAATCGGGGACGGCGAAACGGTTGTCGAGGTTCGTGCCAAAGTAGTACATGATGCCGATGGGGAACATGACATACATGCCGAACTGGATCGATAGTGTCAGTACTTTTCACTCCCGTCGGCCCCGAGAAGGAAAAAAAAAAAAGCCTAGGGACACAAGACTCACCTTGAAAACTTCCAGATTGAGACCACCCATTGTAAGTTATTTGCGCGGGTGTCGTGTAGTGTGCAATGGCTGATCGAAATCAATGACGCTGGGATGGTCGGACGATTTCGAGTGTGGGTGGGTGATGGAGTTCTACAGCGCGCGTACTGAGAATCATCTGCAGCGGTATTGGACGCCGGGATGGCGCGGGCGGTCCGGAACCTCGGCGCAATTTTTTCCACCTTCTCCGGGGTTTGGGGTGGGCCCATGCCCGATCTGACAGAGCCCGAGGGGCACGCAGCGCCGATGCACATTCACGACTTCACTCCGCTCGCCCAAACTGACCATGCCATACTTTTCTCTCCAATGACCTCGTAGGCCTTTTACATTCGATGTTTATAAACTACGATGATGTCTGGTCAGGTATGCCATGTACGAACAATGCTTTCGACCGCCAGTCCCAGATACCCCGCCCCCACCCAAAGACTCAGCATGCCGCACCGTCCAGTTGCCCAGCCAAAAACTGCCTCTAAACGCCTAAGCATGGTCTATGTACAGACTTCCGGAACCCTCTACAGTTGGCCCATACCCATATCATACACATGAAATTTGGTGAATAAGTTCGAACTGCCGCAGTTAGTGCGGTCGCTGAGCAGCGGCACGTCGCCGGCTCTGTGCTTCCTCCATCATCATTCGTTCTGTCAAACTTCGAGGCGTACCCGAGAACAATGCTTGTCCAACGCTGGCGCGATAGCTACTGAGATCACCATCGTCGACGCCGCTGCGTCCGTCCAAACCTCCGATAAAACTGCTAACGTCACCCAGCGAGGCTGCTTGCTGGTATACATCAGGATTCTTGACAACCGGCATGATCACAGGTCGACCCCTGAAGGACCCGACGGACCCAGAGATGAGGTGCGCGGGGATCTGCGGCTCTGTTTGCTTGGGAATGGACACGGCGGGTGAGGTTGAGTACAATGTCTGCACCACGGGTTCGCTTAATTCAACCTCGTTGTCGTCATCGTCCTCGTCCTCTTCTTGTATCGGTGCAGGCCTGGCCCGAGGCTTGGGCGGAGCACTCAATCCCTCGAAATGGAACATGTCCTCATCATCTTCCTCCTCGACGCCACTCCGACTTGACGACTGGGTCTCTGTGTGAGGTGCTGGCTTTTCCGAGCTGGGGCTCTGGGGTACGGGGACTGTCCTTGTCGGCGAACGTGATGTCGGAGACATGATGGCCTTCTTGTTAGCAAACGACTTTGGCTTCGCCATGGCAAGGAACTCGTCGTCGGAAGAGCTGTCGTCGCTGTCGTAGTCCCTCGCTGTGCGGACTGGCTTTAGAGATGCCGGTGGTTCTGGGGCGCGCTGGCGCTCGCGTTCACGCCCACGCTCTACTTCAACCATCTTCGGTGGGTCCTGGAGTTGGACTTGAGGCTGACGGGAGCTGCTCGCGTGCAAAGAGCTCTCAGAATCAGACGTCGCCATGCTGCCATTCTCAGACCCAGCGACGTCAGGGTTCACCACAGTCCATACGGTATTCGCATCCAAGGGAGCTCTGGAGAGAGCCCGGAGTGCCTGGGAGGAAGACACCTTCTTTGGCGGGGGCCCAAGGTCCTCGTCAGGGCCCAGCAGAGACTCGACAGTCATTGACTCATCTTCAGGCGGGGGTGGTGACCTCGAGTTGGCCAGGGTGTGTGACTGCACCAGTGACGGCTCTGTCGACTGCGGCGAGGCTGTAGGCAGCACCTCTGTTCCCTCAAACTCGAAGCGTACGCGGCGGGGGCTGGCGGGAGGCTTAGATCCGCCGCTCGACGCCCGTCGCAAGGCACTCCGGCGGACCTTGGATTCGCTCTGCTCAGAGGTGCCCGAGGAGGTTGTCTCGTCCGTCGCCCGGCGCTCGTGGTTCGGCCGCTCGGGCGTCTGGGTCGCAGCGACAGACACCTGCACAGCGGGACGGTCACTCGCCTGTCCGGAATTGCGCCGACCCATATCGTGGTCGGTGGTGGGCTTTGATGGTGGTGAGAGGACTGGCGAGTGGTTCGTCGCGGGGGGCGGTTGCGCGCTGTCGAGCAGAGGCAGGTAGGTCGGAGTGAAGAGGCCGTGCAGTTCCCTATCCCTTTCCCGGTCGTGTGTACTGTCGGGAGAGGTTAGGGTGGCAGTTCCGGCATGAGAGAGGACGGATGGGGGAAGCGCAGAGGAGGGAGTCGACTGCGGCGTCGGGGTCGGGGCACGGCGGTCGGGGGAGGTGGTTTCGGTGGGCTTGTCGGGGTCGTCGGTGGGCGGCGGCGGTGGGGGTGAGTCAGGGTGGTCTCGTGGGAGAGTGAGGGCGGGAGCGAGATTGGGATAGTTGTGGAAGGAAGCGGCGACGAGACGGTCGACCTCGGCTTGCTTGTCTCGTGGGAGGTTCTGGAGGAGCTTCTGGGAGTACCTATAGAACTCGGTTGCCATGTCTTGGCGGTAGGCTGCAACCTTGTGGTCGAGGTCGGCTAGCTTCTGATGCAGGTCTCCGATGAGCCTCGTCGCATTGTCCATATCCACCACCATATCGGTCAACAGGACTCAGACTCAGCCGAGCAGCTATTACTCCAGCGACAGCGGCAACGGCAGTGGCAGCGGCAGTAGCGAGACTGGCCAGGGGAGACGGGCGGGCGAGGGCTAGGAATCGGGGCGAGGAGGTGGGCCAATGGGTTCCTAGGCGTGGGCATGACGCAAGGCGTCTGAGAAAAGAGAGCCCGTCGCGGCGAAATGGTCGGCGGCGTCCAATGTTTGTTCGGGGTGGACGATTGACGGTTGCGGCCAGGCCACACCCACTTTAGATTTGCAGTGCGAGAGGTAGACGCACGGCGAGTGCAGGGCCAGAGGCAGATGTGTGCGCCGAGCGTGTGTGTGCTGTGTGTGCTATGCTATGCAGAGTACAAGGTAGGTAGGCAGGCAAGGTAGGTAAGGTAGGTAGGTAGGGTATCGGTGATTTACCCTGGGGGGCGGCGGCAGCAAGGCGAGGCGAGAGCGATGGCGGCGGAAAGAAGAGCGTCGGACTGCAGATGGGCGCGCGCGCGCGTGCTCAGAGTGTATGTACGAACTGCCTGGGGAATGTTTCTCCTGCTCCAAAGTTCCTCGCGGAGAGAGAGAGACAGAGACAGACTCTGGTTGAGAGTTGGAGAAGAACAGTCCAGAGATCAGGTCGGGGCCCCGGGATGGTGGTCTCGAATCAGGCCAGATGCGAGAGGGTGTGTGTGTCTGTTGTCTCTGATGCCGGTTGAATTCCAGGGAGGTGGTGGTGCCAGAAAAGTCTTGCTTGTCCCAAAAGCGCAAGGCAAGGCCCTAAGGGCAAGTTAGAACTGCGTGGTAAGACAGGCCGGAGAGGAGCGGTCTACTTAGGTACTGGGGGCAGGTTTGGGGTTGGGGAAGAGGTGGAAAGAGACGACAGACAGACAGCCGGGCCGCAGGTGACAAGAATGCGCAGCGCAGCAAATGGAACCTGGAATGGAACGAATTGTTTGTGGACGGCCGACTTCTAATTCTGTGAGGGGCTGCTATCCGTACCTCTTCGAGGGGAAGGACCCAAGGTGAGGTGCCCTGCGGTGGAGGGGAGGGGAGGCCTAGAACACCCTAAAGATGGTGTCCCCGATCCCCACTGTCTGGACTTTGGGTCGGTTGGTCGGGTCGTGGCCGCCAGGCATTTTCTCTCTGCTGCCATACTCTCTCTCTCTCTCTTCACTTGCACTCCCACTCCTCCGCCTCCCTCTCCCGCAGGTCAGTCAGTTCTCAGTTCAGCGAGGGGCGCACACGCACACACACACACTTTCTCTACATGGACACTGGGAGGGCACTCCGAGAGGAGGGGAAGGGCTCGGAGGGGAGGAGAGGAGAGGGAAATCTTGGGGGCACGCAGAGGTACGTACCCTTTTACATTCTATGTGGATAGGATCCACGCCCACCCATGGAGGGCACCGAACGGGGCCCTGGAAGGCTTAAAAGCCTTGGGAATCTGCAATGTCGCCTTCTACATCCAGGGTGCGATTGCCCAGCCCAGCCCAGCCCAGCTGCCAGGTGGTAGGCCCTGCCCGCCCGCCCTCTGCGGTGCTGGTCAACTCATCAACTGGTGCTCGTGCCTGTGCCTGTGCCTGTGCCTGTGCCTGATGGCCCAGCAGGGCCCGTATCTGCGTCTGCGACTGCGTCCTCGCTTCGCCTCGCCTCGGCAGGCTCCTCCAGCGTCCAGTGTCCACCTCAGGCTCGGGGCTTCCATATCCCCTGGACTGCACCGCCGTCCCGTACCTGCCGACCGTCCGTCCGTTGTTGCTCTCGGGTACCGACGGCCTCGTTCTCACCGAAGCACCGTCAGCTCACAATATCTTCATGCTCCAGCTTCATCGTTCTCCTTCCCGTCCTCAGCGTCAGGGATGCTTGGAGCAGCAGCTCAAATTGGGAACCCGGCCTGTGGATCAATGTCATCATGGACGGAATGAAGGCCTGTCCCATCGGCCCTTCCGTCCGTTCTCGACTCGCCGTCTGCATTCTCTGAGACTTACATGTGCGTCCGTCTGAGGTTGTGATGCACCTGCAAGTCTTCTTCCCATGGTTCCTGTCGACATGTCTCGTTCTCTCGTTCCCGTTGCTTTCGGGTTCCCCGTCGTTGCCCGCGGACCGCACATCTCACTTGGTAACCCGCAATTTGCTTCCCTTCAATTACCGGGCCAATATCAAAATCCACAAGAGAAGCACAAAGAGAAGAAAAACTCAATCCCCACGTCTGCCAGGCATTGTTGCAACGATTGCTGCAACCTCAGAGCTATCAAACGATCTCGGCGCCCGGCTAGCGCCTTGTTTCTTCATCACACGTGTGTATCTGCCTATTCTAGACAATCATGAGATGAGCCCATCTCACTCTCTCTCTCTCTCACACACACACACACCAACACAAACATGTGCTCTCTTCACAACTTACACGACACTTGCCGATTGCCCTCCGCGAACCCGCCCGCCAAGAAGCAGAATCTTGACTTTGCTGATAACGCGGGGTCTGTTTTGGATGAAGGCTAGACTTTCCAACCTTTGGACGAAGCCGCGCAACACTTTTTTGCGTTGATGGGCAAGGTTGGGTGAGGCTTTCAAAACAAGCACTGGCTGCAGGTTTTGTCAAGGTCGCTCGTCCAACCGCCAATGCTGTCGGATACTCCCCCCCTCCCTCGTGCCCTCACTTATGAAAAGCATCCTGGCTAACATGCAGCCACTTTCTCGTGTCGTCGAGTAATCCATTAGCAAGGTTTTGCAGCAGCAGCCGGTTCTTCAGGTCGTCAACGGCACCAGCCAGTCACGGGTAATGTCGAGGTGGCATGGCATGGGGGTGTGGTTTGGGATGCATAACATTTGACTTTCCGACTTGCTTTCCTAGACGTTCCGCCGAGATAAGGTGGGAGGGGTGCTTTTTTTGGGGATGGGGGATGGGAGGGGGGATTGGAGGGGGAACAACACTGAAGTCTGAAGTGGGATGACCCCCTCCTCCCCTCCACGTCGTGGGTGGTCCTCCCCCCAAAGTCACGAAGTCACCCCTCCTCCTCAAGGCTCAATCGTCAACCAACCCCCCCGCCGCCGGTTCCCTGACCGAGTCCGGCTCTTGGTGTCACGCGGCCGCTCCCAACGGCGCATGACTGGCCATCTCCTCTCACCGGTCCCGGAATCCCGTGACAGAACCTCCCACCCGACCCCACGGGGCCAACAGCTTTGCAGTCACGGGATCGACCACAGCTTAATATCTTGTCTCCTCTTCCAAGTTGTCGCCTTTCTACTCATCCATTGTAGTGTAATCTTTCCCACCGCCGCCCGCCCCCCTGGTCCAATCCCACGTCTCGCAGATCACTCGCAGGCCTCCCAAGCCCGGGGCTCCGCTCAAAATTAATTAACTGTTCGCCCCGGCTGAAATGCAATGCGGTCATCGCTGCTACGGCGTCGCTTGCATTTGGCAGTTCCGCATTGTAAAAATGTGACATGGAGGCAACAACCTAAAAACCCTCAACAAAAAATGGCTGCCTTACTCAGACAACCATTAAGCTTATGCCCACGGTATCCGAGTACGACAGTCGCGCTGGCCATGGGGTATCATCCATCCAGTGGCAACGAGCCCTTTGCCTAGCACACACTTTTGAACTACCTGGACAAGCTGAACAGCCCGTCCAACGTGTGTGCTTTCCATACATGCGTGCACTGCTTCACACTGCTACCATTGCCCCCTTCCGGTCCGTTGTTTGCCTGTCAAGCAAAACCAAGAGTGGCCTAGACACGTTGCGGCAAGCCGTCGCTCTCCCGTTGTCACCGCTGCACGGTGCGGTCATACTGACGGCTGTCCCGAACTCGCCGTGCCACGCACGGCTTGGCTATGGCAAGGGTGCCCGGGCTTAAGGTTCCGGTGCCGTGACTCGGAGCGGGCGGCGGAGGACGACCCTTCAGGAACTCCGCGACGGGGGGGTTGCTTCGTCAGCGCGGATATCGCTGTTGCTAATTGGTGCGATACGCTGGCTTCTTGTGAGGTATGTTGATGGTGATGCTGTCGGTGTTCTGTCATGCCTGGCGTGTGTAGTCTCTAGAGCGTTGAAGTTGACAATGACTACATAGTAGACACGATGTAGAGGCTTGGCACGATTGAAAGAGGCTGATATGAGGGCGAATGGTCCCCGTGTGCGATGGCACGCTGCAATTAGTGCCGGCTGTTGCTCAAGGGAATCTAGAAGCTTCTAGATCGACGTTTGGCGAGTGATTGGAATCTCAAGATGGTCCTCGAGGTTGTGTACTGACGGTTCCAGCAGTCTCCGGTGCAGTCGCCTTAACGCGGGGTGGTCCTGTTGGCTCAGTCTAGCGCAGGTCACCTCACGGGATATGCTCATCATAGTAGTTGAGAAGCGATTGTCTATGTAAAGTCCTATCTAAACCTTCAGTTGAGGTTGACCATGTGAGTCTGCCTGTCCGATCCTGATATCGTGTGTTCCTTCCAAGGATAAGGTACCAACTCAAGTTGGTGAGCAATAGCAAAAAAAGCAAGTATACCTACAATCCATCCTGATACTTCCCGATCCAGTCCTGCAAATCAACTTACTCGCTGTCGTGATAATCTCCATCGCCGTCGTCATCCTCGTCCTCGTCGACATTCTTGTTGTCGATGACAACCTCTTCGCCTCCCTTGTCGTCATCGTCGGGCTCGCTCAGGGCCACAAGCAACTCCTGGTAGAACACGTTCATGACGGGAGCCAACATCTTCCGGTCACGCTTGTCCGCCTCGGTAGCAACAGTGCCGATAAGACTAGTGTAGTCCTGCTCGATGATGTTGATCACGGTGGTGACGTTGCGGCGCACCATCTCCTCCAAGCCTTCAAGAAGAGTGTGCACTGCACTATCGGCGTCGCTGGCAGCGTCATAGAACATTGTCGCCCGCTTCTTCTCGATTTCCTTCTCCATGGTACTGCGAATGGTGATGAATGCACCGCCACCTGTAAGGACTGTCATTCATGCAAAGATATCCCTTATCCTCGTGGGTTACCTACCTTTTACTTGAGCACAGTATCCGTAGGTACCTCGCAGGGCGCCTTCAATGGCCGGATACAGCATACGGTTGGCACCTCGCTGATGCTCCTGGGTGAATTGCTTGTGCTGCTTCGCAATGTGGATCTGGGTTTCCTTCATGGCAGCAACGTGCTTGGTGAGAATGGATTGGACCAAGTCGGTGTTGTCAGTCAAAAAGCGTCGACCCTTCATGCAAGCTTGAAAGGCGCCGACCATGCGATCACAGGTAAGAGTAAGGTTGTCCAGGAGCTCCGGGAAGCGCTTATTGAAAGACTCGTCCCAGGACTGGGCATAGGTGTTCTTCATGGCCTTCAGAAGGTCTGTCCATGATTGTCAGCAGCTCGTTTCTGCTGTGATTCGTCCGTGCAGCCTACCTTCGTTGAAGTCACGAGGACCAGCAGCACCCTTAAACACCACTGAGAGAACAACGTTAGCCACGAGGTCGTCCACTAAGAGATGCAAGTAAAGAGACTTACCGGCGACGACAAGTGGCGCGGTATGTGGGAAACCGCAGACCACCGGCATCGGGAGATGCGCTCCAGGACTTCGCCATGGCCACGGCCGCAGCAGAACCTTTGCTAGCAGCCTTTGGCAATCGCTTGAGCACCTTCGTGGCAGACGTTTCGCAGTCCTGCATGCAGCTCGCTACAGACTCCTCGAGAGTCTATTCCAGTAGGTTAGTATCTAAATCAAGATGAGAGCCACAGTGTAAGTACGCACCTTCCTCAGCTTTCCCACAGCTTTCTCGAGAAACTCGCACTCCTCCTGTCTTTCAGCATCCGACATCTTGAGCGTGGCTTCGTCGCCAGCGAGAAACAAGTCTATGCCTCTGAGCAAGCGACAGATTTCGTTCAAATGACTCTTAAAGTAGCCATCTTGAACAGCTGCTGCAAACTCAAGCGTGTGCCTTTGGAGGCCTGGAACCTCGGTCTCCTCGAGGGTAGTGAACCCGGCGACACGTCTATCCTTCTTCATGCGGCCTCGAAGCTGTTGGTAGCTTCGGCTGCTAATGCAATAGACCGGCAGGTCCCGTCCGATTCTCTCGTAGTCAATATCAGCAACCTCGGGCGGTTGTCCGTCGCTCTGAGCTTGCTCGGCAAGCAGCTCGCCGTCCAGCCTATTCAATGCCGACATGGTTAGCATTGAGCCTTTCTCCGAGAGAATATTGTACCCACTCTTTGAGACCGAAAGCGAAATCCTTCTGGATTTCCTCTCGCGAGTACTTGTTGCGTCCTTGGATGCACAGCCGATGCATCTCCGTGTTCACCTTCGATCTCTCGGCGGTGAGATCGGCGATGGCAGATTTCAGCTTGCTCACTTCCTTGCTAACCTCTTTCTTCTCATCTCTGAGGGACTTTTTCATGTCCTTGAGCTCCTGAAGTTTGGCGCCAGCCATTTCCGCGGTCAAGGGTTCACGATGGTCGTCTTGCTGAGACGGCATTTCTTCGTCCGACTCGTCGCTGGACTCTTCCGTATCGCTGTACTCGACCTCCTTCTTGACCTTCTTTCGGACTTCATCTTCTGTATGACGCTTGCGCTTTCTAGGGGACTCGAACGGAGCAAATACACGTTCTCCGCTCATAGCCTTGTTGTAGATGCCATGCCAGTTGTCGATTTCGTTGCTCGCAATTTTGATCTCGGCGTGAAGATTCGACTTGTGCGCCTCCAATTTCTTGAGATTCTTCTTCGTGGCGTCGATCTCCGGCTTGATTTCCTTCCAGCGACGATGCATCTCTTGAATATTGTCTCTGATGCCAAGAGTCTCGGCTCCCTCGCCAAGGGCAACATCATCGGCCTTCGTGCAGATGAACGTGATATTGGAGTATGAACCGTCGAACTTCAGCTGCTGTCTAAAGTGCTGACCGAGCAACGTCTTGGCCGTCCTATCGTTGACAGCTCGAGTGATCGGCGCAATGATCCAGAGTCTTGTACACTCCTTGGTGTACTTGGCAGCAACTGCTGCTCTCGCGGTGTTGGAATCGCGACTTCCTGGCTGTTTCGGTATTAGCGACTTGCATCAAGAACTCAGAGGAAGTATTCAGTGCCTCACCAAATCGACGAGAACGACACCAGTCGACAAAACCTTTGACTTCAAGAAGATCCGAACAGCCCTCACGAGCGGCCAGTATGCAATGGTCGGGACCTGGGAGTTGCCATTGTCCTCGGAATCGACGTAAGCCTGGACTTTGTCGTAGAAAACGTCACACGTCTTCTCCTCAATCGTCATGGTTTTTCCTAGGACAGGTTGCAAAACCGGGCGACTAGCAAGAGCGGTTGGATGAGTTTGTTCCAGCTCTTCGGGAGTCAAGTCAGGATACACAGAGCGAATGATGGCATAGGCAGTACCGGCATCACTGCTCTCGTCTCGGGTGTCCTTGGAGATCTTTCCGTTATCATCGAGGATGTCTCGGTGAAGCTGCAAGAGCTCCTGGGTCCACTCGGCCCGCGACAAGAAGTCGATTTCCGCTCGGTACTTCTTCCCTGCGTCCTCTTCGGTATTGTAAGAAATCTCGGTGATGACTGCAGTGCATGCACGCATGCAATTGGTAGGAACTACACGCTCCTCATCCAGAACTGCATTGATGAGAGAACTCTTGCCGGTACCTGTGTCGCCAAGAACTCCAATGACGAACCGCGGAAGCTTGGCCTCGGACTGCAAATGATCGATCGATTTACAGTACTTTGCGGCTCTCTTCATGTCTGCCATGTGAATGAGCGTCGACTTGAGGTTTTCCAGGAGGCCTGTGGCCTTGACGCTGGTCTGTCGCAGCTGTGTTCCTGTTTTCTGCGCCTTTGCCATCTCCATCATCTCATGTGCTCTTGCCGCTGACAAGCCTTGGTGCACCTCGTCGTCCGCCATTGTAAGTGACGCCACTGAAGATCAGATCGCGTGGTAATTCTGCTAGAAACGGGTCAGCTCGGAAGCTCGATCTCGATGTACCAAGCAATGCCAGGTGATGAATGCGGCGGCTGGCACGGTTGAGTAGTGAGATGACGAAGCGGCCCGGAGGTGTAAGACCTGCGACCACGGCAGGCGCCACTCTGGGCAATGAAATGACGACTGAGAGAAAATTGAAAACAGTGTGTAGAAATAGAGAGACAGAAAACAGGAAACTGAAGACGCAGATGTGAAAGAAGACGTAGGGCAAGCAGGCTAGCCAGCGCGCGCCTTCCGCTCGCACCGCTACGCGCGATTTCGGCGAAGACTTACCAGAAAGCGAATCGTTTGACAAAGACAAATCAGCTGTTATCAATAGCAGGATTCTTGACGGTCAACAAGCGTGTAGGGTTTGGCAGCCAACAGAAGTTACGTCGAGTTGAGATGGTTGGTGGTGGAAGCCCAACTGTTGTGGGTTGTGAAGTAGGAGGAAGAAAATCAAGTGAGACGAGGAGATAAACAGACTCGAGGAGGCAGATGGAAAAATTGAGGAGGGAAGGTGCTCCCTCTTTTTAGCTGCCTGGGTAGCTCCAGGTAGAGAGCGTCGAGTGCTTTGGTGTCCCCGCCTTGGGTTGGTGTTGTGGGAGGCAATTCTGAAATACAAGCACCGCGAGGCCGCGGAGGGCTATTGGGAATCATGGTGTGCCTGAAGTGCTTGGAGTGCCGACGACTTCTCACTTGCAGTGCAAGCTCACTTGAAGTCTGCACAGACGATAGCCCATGGGGATGCCTTGAGATGAACAGTAATGCATCTTCCATCATCCTTAACAAACATCTGTAAGGGAAGAGCAATTTTAGGAGGCACCTTCTTTATCCTCCTTTTAAAAGTCAGTACGATAGGCAACAGAGGTCATAGAAGATGCTGGTCAGTGCTGGATGTGAAAGATGTTTCTGTTGATTTACTACATCTCTGTGAGATTCAGGGGTAGTGACTGCTTTGAATAGACGAGACATGGATTGCAGATGAATCTTGAACAGTAATCACGCGTAAATAGGCTGAAAATAGGATATAAGGACAAATCCCATAAGATCTTATTGGAAAGGTTGGCTGAAGGAGAGCGCGCTCAGAGTGCTGCTAACGCGAGACGGCTCAGCAAGACCACCGGGCTCTGCGGAAAGCCTTACTTGTACAGGATGGACACTTCTGTACAATCATAGAGATCCAAGGAAGGTGCTATCTGCGTAAGCATATTCATCGTTACAGCCCTCTTCATTAAGGGTTAATCACAGATTGCAATGCTCCGTCTTACGAGGAATCCATGGTGACGACTGCTGAGATCCACGGAAGATATCAATATAGAGAATGGAAAGAATTCAATCTTTTATTTTTGGGGCCATGTCGTGACAGTGAACAAAGCTCGTGTTTCAATAGGAGACCGCCTCACTTCCTGTGTACTTCATCAACTTGGGTTTATGCCCCGGTCGAGGACAATAGCGGAAAGAACGACAGTAGAAATGATTACTATAGAGGCGATGATGCCGACGATGACAGGAGGAGTACTAATAATGATAGAGGCGGCAACAGCGACGATGGCGACGACAAGGCAGACGGTCAAATCTAATGGACCGTCGTTGACCTGAGCTCACCGAGGTCGGGAAGGTGGGCCGGCGATCAGGGGTCCAGCTCACCGCCTTCCCAATTGGTGGTCTGGAGTCGTCGAGCTTGGGGGCACCAGGTCTGAGCTCCAGCCATCTCCTTGCGCCTGCAACAACACATCTTCCGCCAACACTTGCGCTTCGCGTCCCATTTCCCGATTCGAAGCCCGCCAGAATGTCTACAATCACCCATACCGCCCTGCAATCGGGTCATGCGCCCATTATTCCCCTCTCCTTCAACTCGAACCAGCCGGAGACGATTCGCCTCTACCCTCTGTCCAACTACACTTTTGGCGTAAAAGAGACCCAACCAGAGGAAGACCCCTCCGTGATCGCCCGTCTGAAGCGCCTCGAAGAGCACTACAACCAGCATGGCATGCGCCGCACCTGCGAGGGCATCCTCGTCTGCCATGAGCACAACCACCCGCACATCTTGATGCTCCAGATCGCCAACGCCTTCTTCAAGCTGCCTGGCGACTACCTCCGCCCCGAGGACGACGAGGTCGAAGGCTTCAAGTCTCGTCTCGACGAGCGCCTTGCGCCTGTTGGCAGGATTGGAGAGGGCGAGGAGCCTGCGGACTGGCAGGTCGGTGACTGCCTGGCGCAGTGGTGGAGGCCCAACTTCGAGACGTTCATGTACCCGTTCGTGCCTGCGCACGTCACCAGGCCGAAGGAGTGCAAGAAGCTCTACTTTATCCAGTTACCCAAGAGCAGTACGTGCTTCACTCTACGTCGATGAAGTCTGATTTGGTGCATTTTGCTAACACCCTTGAAAGAAGTGCTCAGCGTGCCGAAGAACATGAAACTCCTCGCAGTCCCCCTGTTCGAGCTTTACGATAACACCGCCCGCTACGGTCCTCAGCTTTCTGCAATTCCCCACCTCCTCAGCAGATACAACTTCGAGTTCGTCGATGAGAACGGTAACATCGTCGCGGTCACCCCGGGTTCGTCCGCACCCGAGGGATATGTGCCCCGGATCAAGGTTTTGGCTGGGGACGACACGGATATGCAAGAGGCGAAGGATGAGAACGGCGAGCAGTAAACCTGTTTCACACAGTAGCATGTCACAGGAAAGGATTGGGCGAGGCGTTCGGCGTAGGTCAAAAAGTCTAGACCCGGTGGCTGTACAATAGTTTTGCCTCACGCATATGCCAATATCAATTGGTGCACTTTAGAGGAAATGGTGATTGTTATTCTTCTATTTTCATTGACTTCTTTACGCCTTGGGCTCTCCCTGGATGGTGGCGACGAGTCGGCGCTGGTGCCTGCTGGCTCTGAACTCCAGGTACCAGATTCCTTGCCACGTTCCCGTAGCCTGCCCAGAGTGAGCAAAGGTTGCGATTGGAGATCTGCTTCACTTACGAGTCTGCCGTCCTTGATGGGAATGGTGACGCTTGCGCCCACCAGAGCGCTCTTGATGTGAGCCTGCGTCATATTAGCAACTGCCCAGACGATAAGACCAAAGCCAACTCACGGGCATGTCATCAGGGCCCTCGGCGCTGTGGCGGTACAGCTCCTGTCCCTTGGGGCCGGCCTCGGGTGCGATGCGGTCCAGCGCGTCGCTCATGTCGGCCCGGACATCGTCGTCCCAGTTCTCGTTGAGGCTGAGGGCGCAGCTCGTATGCTGCACAAACAGGTGCAGAATGCCGACCTTGTAGTTCTTGAGCTCGGGAAGCTGGCTCACGACCTCGTCAGTGATGAGGTAGGAGCCGCGGGAGCGCGCGGGTAGCGTGAACTGCTTCTGGAACCAAGAGCCCGTCATTGTCGCTGATGGTGGGGTATGACGTGGGTTCGACCTGCGCGGCGTGGAAGATGCGAAGCCCAGGAGCGTGAGGGGAAGCTGCCAGAGAAAGTGAAATAAATTGGGAAAGAGGCATATGATCAGGAAGACGAGGATAAGTAGGGTTGTTGTCGAGGAGAGGTGTTGGCGGTTTTGTGGTGTCGGAGACATGGTTGCTGCGGTGCTTGGAGATGAAAATGGTGCAGGCGGTCCAATCTGGTGGGGCAGGGTCGATGGGTAAGTGAGGTCAGATGAATTGCGAATCAAGGCACTTTGATACGCACAGAACCGATGAGAGGTGCAACGCCAACTTCCAACTTCGAGGTTTCTAGGGTGCCATGAATTTCTATTTGCTTTTTCGATAATATTGACTGATTAATCAATTAACGATACGGTCGGCCTGTCTTCACCTACGAGACGAGAGACGGTTGCAGGTTTATCTGCATGGCCATCCACAGTCACTATTCAACACTTGTAGTCCATATCTGAACGACTAAAGTGACGGATGTGTTAAGGCCAGTACTTGATGCTCTCTCTGTTACTTTCTCTTGCATTTCGTGGTAGACGTATCGTCGTTCATCGCTCACGAATTAGTCAGAATTCGATTGGCCGACATTCCGATCGCTTGTGCAACAATTCCTATTCGACATGACGGCCCTCCTGTGCTTCATTGGTCTTGCTGCGGTCAACTCTTGGTCACGCGTGTCTAGCTCCTCTTGAAATGTTAAATGTTATCCGAAGCACTGATTCTGCTATATTTACAAACATCGTCATGCCGTTCTATAGCATACGGCTGACGCTACTTTCTTTACAGTCCCATCGCTGTCCTCTCCCGCATGTTGTCCAGCACTTCTCTATGCAAGGGGGTAGGAGGTCTCGGGGAGGGACTCAAGGTGCTTGCGGTGGTGCTCGTTGGCCTGCAATCAGTTAGCCAATGCCTCCAAATGACTGCCCTTCCCGTTTTGAAAGATGGAGGTCCAGACATACGTAAGGCAGACCGCAGTAGTTGCAGGAAGCGATCTCGGGCTTGTCGGTGTTGATGAAGATTCTGGGGTGGCCGGCGGGACCGCCGCCTCCGTCGCACGCAACGATGCGCTTGTGTGTCCAGGTAACGGGCTGCTCGTGGATAAGCTCCATCGCGGAGTACGGTTGTGGCTGCGACCAATTGGTTAGCCCCTCTCCTTCGACGCCGTCGTTGACTGCAGGTGTCTCATCGTCTCACCTGGAGGTTGAAGTCCGTCTGCTCGAATCGGGGACCGGTCATGGCCTTGGCTCTGGGCTGCTGGCTGCGCGACCAGATGAGGGATCGGTTGGGGGCCTGGCCAACCTCTTGCGGAACGGTGGTCTCGGCCGTCTGGGGGGTAGCGGCTTCGTTCTTCTCGACGACGGCGGGTCTCTCGGTGGTGCGGGCGGCCGCGGACACGGTGAAGGGGCGCGAGGCAACGCGGAGCTGTTGCGACAGGGCGCTCGTCGCTCGTCTGGATGCCGACAACATGGTGCTGGCTCAATTGGGTGTTTTGTTCGAAGGGGTCGGGCGGTTCCGGCTCACCAGACAGTCGATTTCTGGGGAAGCTTGGAGTTCCTGAAGCAATTGATTACACCTGCTGTCATTCGTCGGGAAGAATTAAACCCCGCTAGCCGAGGTGAGTGGTGTCCCACTTCGGTGTGTTCGGTGAGACGCTCCACCATATCAGCAACCATTGGCACGGATCGTTCAACGCGTCCCTTCTCTAACCGACCGTCTCGAAGTTGGAGCTCTCTACGAGCCTGAGTTCAATCAAGTGGATTGACCAAAGCTTCTCCCGGAGACGATCATCTCTATGCCTCCCGCAGGCAGTTCTCAGCCTCATGTGACAAGCAGCCGGCCAGCACCCGTGGCCAGAGCAAACACAACAGCCTGCATCCGCTGCCGGCAGAAAAAGAAGCGATGCGACCAAAAGCTGCCAGTATGCATTTCATCCTCTTCGATGTCTAATTCAGTCATACACGTGAGGGTATCTGACGATCGCGTAGAGATGTCGCTTGTGTGAGCTTGCTGGGGTCGAGTGTTTCGGTTACGATGCCGTAGCCAGGAGACAGGTTCCTCGAAGGTTGGGTCCAAAAGACGTATTTTCGTGTGACTACTCACACCTTTCCGTCCAGCTACATCCACAGCCTTGAAGATCGTGTTGCGTATCTCGAGTTGAAGCTCAGGGAACATGGCATTGACTATGAAGACGGAGCAACCCCTATCCAGGAGACTTTGTTGCCTACTCAGCATACGCCAAGGCTTCCGGAGTCTGCGGTGAACGAAAGAAATGGCGACTTCAATACACCAACTGGAGGCCATGCTGAGATCAACGCGTCCTCGACGGTGACAACTCAGCCTATCGTCCCCCAAATTCAAGTTGGCGCCGAACATGAAGCCTCCTTCACTCACATTCTCATGAGAGAACTCATGAGCTCACGGCTGGCACCGCAATTGCACAGGAGTCGAGCTTCTGATCCTGGTCATCAGAGGCAGCAAAACTCCTCCGACATGGCAGGTGATTTGGACACCAGCCCTCTCTCACTGCCAACGAGACAGATAGCGGAGAATCTCGTCAAAGAGTACTTCCAGTCTACGAGTGCTGGTATGCCGTTGCTGCACGAACCCACCTTCAGAAAGAAGCTCGATCTCATCTACGATATGCCTCGAGTGGTCGACATGGCCGAAGACCACAAAACTACAGAGTCGAGACTTGCTCTTTTCTTCGTGCTCGAAGTCTTTGCGGCGGCGCTCCTATCAATGTCCAAGAATGATCCTGCGAGAATACCAATATGGCTAGCAGATCGCTATCACAAAACAGCTATCACAGCTCTCATTGAAGCCGGTCTGCCGGCCGACGTCGAAGGCGTCCAGTCCCTTCTTCTCGTTGGGCAGTTTTACTACTTACATCCAACACTGTGGGTTGTCTGGAATACAGTCGGTGCTGCTATCCGTCTTGCCGTGGAGCTGGGCCTGCACCAAGATCCGTCCCCCGAAGAGGTGGACGCTCTTACACTCGACACTAGAAGGCGAACTTTCTGGGTAGCATACGCGATGGATCGCAACATCTCGGTGGCACTCAACATGCCGTCCTGTCTTTCAGACGGCGCAATCAACGTCGAGGTAAGCCCAGCCCTGCAATCTACAGTAACTCGAGCTCATGGAAATGAAGTTTCCCAGCGATGTCAACGACGAGCTCATCACCGTAGACGGCATTAGGCAGGGTGAGGCGCACAAGTCAGGAGCCAAGCTAGTCAGCCTACATCTCTTTCGGTACCGCCAGATTCAGTCCGAAATGCAGCGAGTTCTCTACGAGAAGCCATCGTCTCCGTATTCCCCCGTCCCGATGGACGACTGGCAGCCAAAGATGCGCGACCGTATCGACGAGTGGCTTCGAAACATCCCCGCGGGAGACAGCTTGAACAGCCTCGATAGGACCGTCATTGAAACCTTTGAGCTGACCCATCACACGGCGTTGTTCCGCCTTTATCGCCCCTCTCCAAACAATCCCAACCCATCAGGCATTCAATTACTAGCCGCCACCCAGTCAGCCACGAAGATGATCCATCTATACCGGGAATTCTTCCGCAGGAAGAGATTGACCATCTACTGGCAGTCTGTGGAGAACGTTTTCTCTGCCGGGACAACTCTGTTGTTCGCGTACACCAACTCCGCCGAAGTGAGGGAGGCGATCAGCTCCCAGTCCTTCCAGTCTCTTGTCAGCACATGCTCTTCCGTACTATGGGGGATGGTGGAACATTTTCCAGCATTTCAAGGCAAACGAGATGCCTTCGACACTGCTTCATCGAGGGTCATGATGGAACTGTCGCACGGCGTCACTGCGGGCGAATCTGGGCTGATCGCTTCCTCCTCTGCAATTGACGCGGCCCACGAAGTCCAACAGACACGGTTAGCTTCGCTGGAGACGATTGACCCAACCAACTTCGACATGTCATCTACGAGTCTTTTGGACTTTGATGATCTATCCATGATCTGGGAAGCCACAGCTGACTTGAGTGGGACTTTCATGCCGTCCTGGGTATGAAATGGCCATGCCACGTCAGTGGTTTCCTCATATCTGACTTGATTGAAACAAAACGACTGGTCATTGACACAAGTGAGAATTTAGACAGCTTATCCTGTCTCGACCGTCGCTCGAGCCGCCACTAGTGCGTGCGTCTATAGGATAACTCAAGTCGATTGCTACTCACTTGTGATTCGCTCTTTTTCTCCTCGGAGGTCTATCATCCTTGGTCATAGGCTTTGTCGTCTCCGCAGGAATTCACAAGCAGCCCGTCAGGCGTGATACATTACATCATTAGGAAACGTTTAACACGTGCTCTCTATTCGAGTCTACAGAATGCGGACTCATGCACAACTAACTCGCGATCGGCCTTGCTCGTTTCCCCAACCCAAAATTGCGCGCGCCAGCACGATTCTCTCTGGTCCAAGGGTGCGATGGAGTTTCGAGACGATCAGGTCGCGCTCATTCATCAGCCTGAGGTTTGTTTCTGCAGGAAATCCAGCATTTATCATATGGTGTCCATGTGCCGGCCCTTCCTTCATTCCTTGGAGCTGTTGCTTGGTCTCCACGGTCACTCCGCCGCCCTTTTGCTGTGGGCATTCCTTCCCTTCGACCTCATTCTCCACTGTCACCACATGGTAAAACTGATAGACAAAGCCTGTAAGAGCAAAGCCACATGCGATCCCAGGTATGGACAGGTTATGATCCTGGAACATGTATTGCATTGCCCTCAATGGCCTCACGACGCTGTTGAGTTCTAGCCCGACATCGTCCCACACGGATCTGACGAGGGCGCTTCGTAAAGTCTCATAGGGCCCGACGAGAGCTCGTGGAACTCCCAGACGCATGTTGATACCCTCTGATCCCTACTGGCATTCTCGGTCAGGCCCTGGACTGTCTACGGGAGTAATAAGACTGTACCCTACCTCTCCTCCATACCGGCTGCAACGATGACTTGGACGATGGGCTCTAGAATTTTTTGTGTGGCTTCTCTGGGAGTCAGGTCAAGAAAAGGCATGCTCAACCTGTTGTCTTCGGAGGGTGGCTCCTGGGCATCGTCCAGGAAGTAGTATTCCGGGGGCGGAAGCGCTTTGAAAAGAAATCAATCAAGAGTTGAATTCATTTTGTTATGAACTGTGTGTGGTCGGGGACTGAAACTTTTCATTTGGGAAGCGGGATGGCGAAGGAAAGGTAATGATGACGGATGGAGACCGTGGAGCTTTGACATGAAAACGATTGGTAATATCACTTCAATGTGGACGGTTTCGGAAACTTTCTTGAAGAATCTGCTGCTGCCTGGCAATAACCCGCATTCTGCTGCAACTTTAAGCCTGGACTGGTATCGAGATCATGTCCGACCAAATCAGTTGATGTTTGACTTTCAATCAGGAGAAACCAGCATTGTAGTAGTGAGTGCCGCTTTCGGGACCCATGAAATGTACAGATGAACTACTGTCGTGAGATTATAGCGCGATGGCGATCTATTCAAAGCTCTAGGTAGAAAGACGTGAGCAGCAAAAGGAGTGTGGTGTTCTCTATCCTTTTCTCAAAGCATCACCAGAGATGAAACTATTGATAGATAGCCCTCGCTGAGATTTGTCCACATTCATACTTCCGGCACAATTGCTGCTGACTTGACCTTTCTGTCTACACCACCAGTAGAGTCGACCCTCTCAACGTCATCCGCATCGGTAGCCTCAATGATCGTGTTACGATACGCCTCTCGCTTCGGCCTGTCATGTGTGTCAGAAACTGTTTTCAATGTTGCAGAAGATACAGGGTCTTACAAGAGGTACTTGACATCAATGTACCGAAGCACGCAAGTCATGATGATGACGAGAACTCCAATGGCTACGGATGACTGCCAAGCATACTTGTCTGTGGAGCGTCAGCGAGAATTGTAGATTAGAACCTTCCAGACTTACAATAAGGAGCCTGAGTAGCAGGCCAGACGAGCACCTGGGACCAAGCAGAGATGGCGTAGTAGCCGGCAATGGACACACCAACAATCAGCGTTCTCGCCTCGGGGTCTTGAGGCAAGAGATCGGCCAGCCACGCGAAAATGAGAGGAGCTGTGCCCATGGCCGTGAAAGTGATGAAGTAGCTTGCGTAGGCGGTTCCGATGGGCGTCGTCGTTGGGTGTGCTGACCATACACTCATGGCAATGCAGACAGCAAGGCCAATGACAGCTGGTCCATTGTTAGTATGTTGCTCGCAAAGACACTCAGATGGTGCTTACCTTGGACGACGATTAGAGTCCATCTCGTCATCAGAAGGTCTGACAGAATAGCCCAAACCCAGACTATGCCTCTGTTAGTTCCAAGGCCCGGACGAGGTTGAGAGACCGCACTGACCGAAGACAACGTTGATCGCACTACCACCGATGGGAATGGCGTTTACCTGGTCAGTCGACCACCTGGCACTGCCGTCCGCGTTCTTCAAGCTCTTGAGGAACAAGTTGAAG